CACGCTCTACGGCTCTTACGGAGCATCATGTCTTGGTACGTCAACGGCGTTACCCTACTTTTGCCGTGGGTGGTACAACTAACAAAAGGAGTCTAGACAGAAAACACAGCTAAAACTAAAGGACAAACAGTTCACAAAAACTCCTAAGCTACCTCTACACTCTAACTAAGTCTACTCTAGCGGACACTAACTGATATCAACAATACCCAAACTAAATATGGGCACACAAGTTTAACCCACAGTTACAGAATTATCTAAAGCGGAGAGGCGTCTGTTCCACATGTCAGAGCCTCCAGAATTATCTTTAGTCACAGCTTTGACAGTCATCTCCAGCAGGTGTGCGTCCGGAGTGCGCTGCAATTGGAGCGCGTCGGCCCGACCAAGCTCCAATCACAAATCCTCAGAGGACGGACCAGAGATGCAGCCAATGACATAGGGGAACCGCACATTCATTTGCACTAAGGAACACAGTTAAGACGACCAGGAGGCGGCAGCCGTAACATTAGACCTAACACACTTAGCTAGTAATATCTACCTCCTATCATGGCGATTCAGTCGCTGTAATCTGTAACATGTGCTGTGAGTTTGGACGGACAGATACCAACGTTAAGCTTAGCCTGATCGAATCCGATCTCGCCATTCAGAAAATACACGCATTTTTAAAGTTTTTCTCCTGGCCGTCTGTACTGCAGGACTTGGTCAAAGCATTAAATCAGTGGTTTTTACTAACGATATCAGTATGTTGTTACTCAGGCATCATTTTTGAAAACGTGTATTACACTTTAATCACGGTAAAAATATGTTCATTTTGTTGTAGTTGGTTTCTACCACAGCTATAGAGGGAGGGAAAGATTATTATTTATATTATTATGCCGTGTTTATTATTGCAAGAGTTACGCTGTAAGCACTATTTAATCTACATATATAGTTTGTTTTAAATTTAGAGTCGTTTACTTAATTTGTTTTAAAGCTCATAAAATAACCAAAGAAGACCTTTGCCAGCACTTTTCTCACTTTTGTTCCGGAAGATTTACTATTACAGAAAGTTTGACCGGCAAAAAAATTCTAATGGAAACTCCTCGGTGTGTGTGTTTTCAGGGTTTATTACAGAAGCAGAGGGAGCTGGAGACTGGATCTGATCCTTCCTGAAGGCGCCGGGGATGACAAGACAGCTGCCCATCCTTGTCAAACGCACGCGCATGTGACCATTTCACCCCTGCTCTGTGTGTGTGTGTGATGTGGTGTGTGGTGTGTGGTGGTGTGTGTGTTGTGCGTGTGTGTGTGGTGTGTGATGCCCCCTCGTGCTTGTGGTGTGTGTGTGTGATGTGTGTGTGTCACGACGCCCGCCGCCCCTCCCGTCACCGATCCCCAAGGGCACTCCACAGCCGCCACCCGACTCCCGTGCCAGTCTCCTCAGCTGTGACCGCCCATCCGGCACCGGTGTGTGTTCCTGAGTTCAGCGCCTAAGGATGTGTTTCTCTACAGTGTTTGAACCCCGGGTCCTTCATGGAAGGACCCTTGACAGAATCAGGAGCTCTGTCCATCACTTTGAAATCTGCGATATGTCCCACAACCACGAGTTTACTACGCACTTTAAAGTGCGGTTCAGAGATGTGAATCCGACAGATGTCCTTAATTGTGACATGTATTAGTTAAGCTGTGGAAGACGAGAGAAAACAATTGTGGGTGATGTTTTTTTCTCAGTTTGATTCATAACCTTGGTCTGATTCCCAATGTGTTTCCTGTTTTACTGTAAAAAAGCACGCCGGGACAAATAGACTGGATTTTCGGTTTTTTGAGTGGCAACTCCCCATAAATGGGAAACCAGGCTGGATCGTATTAGTCAGCACCCAAAACAGAGGAATGTCTGACTTCCTCAATGTGAGTAGTACTGCACGCTGAAAGTTGTTAGCAGCTGGACCTTTCTGAAACGCACCTTTATAATATCGGCTCTGATCGGGCCTGGGAACCGTTGCATGTAGGATGACTACGAACAAAAAAAGTCTATTTAAAGTAGAGCCTGAGTAAAGCGTAGCATTGGGTCTCTGATTAGAACCATTACATGGCGCATTTCCAGGCTACGGCCGCGGTTTAAAAGCGTGCCAGTGGCCGGCCCGTTTCTTGGTTGCGTTTCCACTTGGCGTAGGTTCCGCACAAACAGCTCACACAGGTTCACAAAATTAAGACAATATCTAATCCTATTCTACATCGGGTCCATCCAGCTTCGTAAACCTCGACTTAGAAGGGTTTAAAGCACGAAGGGCTGCTCTGAAGATAAAACACCACTCAGTGCTGGTTTTTTTCTCACGAATAACAGAAACCCGACATTTGCGGAATAACCTGGAATTATTTAGTAATTTTATGTACAAAGAACTATTTTAACCCTGTAGTTTTTAATGCACTTTCCAGAATGAGAGCTAAAAACAGGTGTGGAACTCAACGTTTATTAAAGATCATGAAATCATTTTTTTTTTTTTTCTTCGGCTTCTTGCTGGCATGAGCTTTGTTACCCTATGCTTCTGCTGTTTTGTGGGTTTAATGTCCCATGTCATTGGCTTCTCCGGTTTATTAGCCGTCCCCTTTTGTGTTAATGAAGGTTTCTTCTGCATGTAAAGCGGTCTGCAGAGTCACAACCCCTCAAAGTACAACCCTGTAAGCGAGTAAGAAACTCTAAACACAGAAAAGATGCTGCCCCAGAACGCCATCTTGGAGATTTCTCATTTTCCATTGTTTTTTCCTGAGGTATAGGTGCTGGGCCCATACCCAAATGGACCGATCTGTGGATGCTCCCCACTCACTCACTCACGCACGTGCACGCACCGCACACGCACGACAGCGCACGCACACACACCACACACCACTGTTTTAGCCCCTCAGCACCCCCCTTCCCGCGCCCATTCGCGATTGTTTCGCAAGCAACCACACCAGTAAAGCCAGCTCAATACTGTCCAGCTCCTCTCAGCAGCGAGCTGACCTATCAGGACACAGTGAGGCGTCTTGATACGGGAGGCGCGGCATTTGAGGGGGAGGAGTGGGGGGGGTGCAGGAGCTCCAACAAGGCGTTTAGACAGAGATTGAATACAGCATACTTCTACAGAGATGCTGTATGGAGAAACCAATGTGAGTTTGGAAAATTGCACAATGTAAATCAATTCTAGTAGACCTCAACAATGGAATCATGATCAGTAGAAATGGCCATGACATGGGACCACTAATGTGCTTTTTTATTTATTGCAAATTTAATAAAATGATGTAAAGTGTTACGAGAACCTTACATTTCTTTCTTTGTTTTGTCGTGTTTTATTTAGGCACCCACCTGACCAGTGCATTTCAACAAGGCTCTTACGTGACAATTTCATGTGGATTGTTCTTATTATAGCTCACTGTATATCAAATATATATATATCAATATCAAATGTAATGCTGTCAGATTCCAATCAGACATAATTTATTATTTTTGTCAACGTTCTGATGCAAAAAAATTTCTTAAAGGTGCCCACTTTGCCCTTAACGATCATTCTGTTAGTCAGCAGGATAGATATATATAACCGGTGTTGTTTTTTTACAATAAATTGGGCTTTTATTACCCTCTATTCAGCTTCTAACAGCAAGATAAGAGTACTACATAGTTTAAGCATATTTTGGTGAATGATCTGAAAACTAGATAAATATAACTTGGGATTATATTCATTGTTCTGTGCATCGTCATTTAATGATAACCATGTACTTACCATGTTAGCTGAGATCTGGACACATGAGAGGAGCACTGAGTTTACATTGAAAAAAGCTGGAAATTAACTACTGAAATAGCAAACAGGAACAGAAAAGGAGTAACTTACTGTGACCTGATAAAACCAACAAAATGTATACCATATTCTTTAAAGGGCCCCTATTATGCAAATATACAGGCTCATATTTGTATTTAGAATCTCTACTGTGACATGTCTCAATGCTTTAATGTTCAAAAAGCTCTTTATTTTTCTCATACTGCCTGTGCTGCAGCACCTCTTTTCACCCTCTGTCTGAAACCAGAGCCCGGTCTGCCCTGATTGGTTAGCTGGCCGGCTCTGTTGTGATTGGTCAACGGCTTAGAGATGTCCAACCCTTCCCCCATCACGTACAATGTGTTGGTGTTTTATATATACAGTCTATGGTTGGAACGCTAGCCAATAGAAGTAAAAGTGTTATGTATGATGTCATGTTACGGAAGTAAACAATCAAGGTGTTTCCAAGCCCCCAGGAAGTGCGCTGGCCATTGAAACCGATTTTTGGAATGGCCAAATGGCATTACAGCCTCAGTGTCTGTCCATTATATAATTTTGGCCAAATATTTTTTTTTCCCATTTAACATATATCAGGGTATCTTTTTTTGTGCTAAATTCAGCACCCAGTGCGAACACTTTTACAGCCCTTATTTAAATCAGGCTTTAAAAGTTGTAAAATGTGCTAAAAGACGAATCCAGAGTTATTTTCCCTCTCCATTCCGAGAGCCCGAGATCAGAGGCGGGGCTTAAGGAAAAGGCACACTCTGTAAAGCCCTAGATGACCCGGGTACTTTCTGAATATGTAGTCGCTCCATGTTGGGCACAACAGAGCAACTTTCATAGGAATGAACGGTGCCTTGCCTCCGACACTATCCAGTTCTCTTTATACATCCATGGGTGTTTCAGGCAGGGAGGAAGACAATAACAATACGGTCTTGTTACAAAAAATTCAACAATAAAAACTAATTCATCTTAGAAGCTCTTATCTAAATTGAAACTTTTTTTTCTTTTACATTTCACAAGTATTCTGGTTTCGTTTCTACAGAAGAGGTCAAAAAAATCTCGTGGCAAACTCAATGTTTACACAGGCAACTTTTAATGCAAAAAAAATGTGTAGAAAAACCTTTAAAAAATATTTTAAAGTTAAAACAAGTCTGTTACAAAGTCCCATCCTACTGAACAAAAAGCAACTAAACACAAACAGCTTGCAGGATGACAAACAAAACATTCGGTACAAAAGAAAATGTCCACTTGGAGACATGTCTGTCCTATTTCAGTGCTTCACAGGTGTGTTTTTTCTTCTTAAAAAGTATTATTTCTTATAGTCAGGGTGCATCTCCCATGATGCAATAAGAAAAAGGTAATCAGGTCATATTCGTTCGCTGTAGAAAACGTCCTTTTGTAGAGATGAATTAGTCGGTTTGCTGGAATAGAAAACTCGTCAAGCTGGTGGTGCGCTCAAAAAGCTGGGAACTTGGATACAGCCAGTCTTTTAACATTCTAATAAATGCCCTTTCTTAGAGCAGAGTACAGAAAAGAAACGGGGAATATTTACTCGAAGCTTTTAAACTGATTAAATCTGAGACGATGTATTCAGTTTAAAAGCAGAATTTTACAAATGTACATTCAAGGTCAGAGATTAAATAAAAACAAGGCATAGAAAACTGGCATTTGCTCACCTGTAATGTCTTTTTTTATCTCCTGCACATGTGTAAAGATGCAGGGGATTTCCATTAGTGTCTTTCTGACAGGTAAACGTTACAGTAAGGTAGTAAAGGTTTTTATTCTGTTTTATAGCAGCTGATTTGTGTCAAACACAAACAAACGCTTATTTTGGTCCACACTCTGCATAGGTCACAAGGGTTTTTTACTGGCCTTAAATCAACTTTCTATGACGACATTTTAAGTGCTTTTGCAGTTTATTTTTGGAGATGGGAAGGCCGGTCATATTCTGAGAAAAAAATCTGAATTTCCAAGAGTTAAGTTGTTAATTTACAAGAAAATCATTAGAGAAAAACGTTGAATTATGCGAGAAGTCAGACACTTGCAAGAAACAACTCAAATGTAATGCTTTGATTTTGTATGATAGGTACTTACTTAAATTGAAGACAATGCTCCCTGTTAAAGTACATGTGATTTGTCACTGAACACCACATTTTTGTATTCTACGCGTTCGTTTGTGTTAGCGATTTCTGCCAACCTTACCTGGTAGTATCTCCACCAAATAAAAGCAGAAGTGCATACTAAATAAAGTCAAGTCAGTATTTCCGACCTTCCTCCTGTTATCATGTTTCTGAACTTGAGTGACTAAAACATCCAGATTCTTGGACACCGTGATCAGTACCATGACGTTTTCATGATCAGGCATTATGAATAATAAAACTTGCGGCATGCAGAGTGTGGTCACTTCTTTCTTCAGCCTGGCACCTGTCTGTATTCAGGGTGTGCATTTCCCTATCCTCTGTTAACAGACTGGTAGTGTTTGGATTTTTGATAGGGAGCAGGTGTGTGAACGTTACAAGCGTAACATCAGTCAAATCGTCTCTCTACATCCCGTTGAAGCCTCCCCCTCTGTGACCCCCCCTGAACCTGCTGCTGCCCGGTACTTCAGGATTGTGGAACCCCCCGAGCAGTGGAAGGCCCGTTAAGTCCCTGCTGGCATGTTGGAAGCGCCAGTACAGGGCAGCAGCACCTGGACCCAGGCCACCTGGACCCAGGCCTGCTGGCCAGGCAGGCATGTGCCCTAGGAGGCCACCTCTCAGTGCAGTCAGGGGCCCTGGCATGGGGAGGAAAGGCTGGTTGGAGAATCGAGGCAGGTTGGGGGTCTGCAGGAGGCTGAAGCCCCCTTGCTGCTGCTGCTGCTGCTGCTGCTGCTGCTGGCTGTGCAGTGGTGGCTGTAGGAATGGTGGAGTCAGATGGAGCGGCAGGTTGTTCAGTTGCTGCAGACGTTGAAGGGGTAGCTGGATCTGTTGTAGACGGGGCAGAGCAGGAGTTGGGATGGGTTAGCCGGTGCTGATGGTTTTTCTCTTTTAAGGGGCAAATATTAGCATTAGCATGGAGAACTCTGGAATACAAGGGGCCTTGGATGAGAGGATGGAAGAGAACAAAATAGACAAGGCACTTTTCTTTTAGCAGACCAGGTGGTCTACTTGGCTTTATTCAGCAAAATAAAAATGTGCGTACAAAAACAATTATATATATATAGACGGAGTAAAAACTGTGACTTTGCGGTTCTTTGATTTCATAAGATTTCCCTTTAAAAGAGTCTGGGACACAAAGCCAATGTCACGCTACCATTTGTAGTGTTACGTGCGTCAGAGTCCTGCACGGGTCTGATTTTCAAGACCGGCTGCCGCCCGCATCCGCGACGTGCAATACCGAACCCGCCCCCCGCACATATTGCCAATTATTTCCGCAACCCGACGGCACAAGATCCGCAACCCGACCCGAACCTGCATATATATGTATATATATATATGAGCAGTGAAAACGTGCAATTATTAACACACGCAGTTGCATATTTGACTCAAAAAGCGTGGGATGTTGGTTATTTTCTCCATCTAGGATAACACCAAAAGCCTCCCAGACGTTGGATTTCGCTCTTGAGGAAGTGTTATTGAAAATGCTGTATTCTCCGCTAGAGAGCTTCACCTCAGCCATTTCGAATGTGGTGCACTCAGCAGCAGATAGATGCGCTGCAGAGGTTATGATTATGCGCGGTCTTGCGGGGGAGAGGTCTGAGGATTTAAACATTAAACTAAATTATTATTATTTTAATATATTTATTATGCAACACCCGCGACCCGACCCGCAACATCTTTGTTTTACCCAGAACCGAACCCGGAAGAAAGTGTTTGAAGAAATACCACCCGCGAATCACTTTTTTTGCGGGTCACCCGTCCCGATGCAGGAATCTGACGTGCGCCCTGGACACTATTTGGCTTTGTGAATTCAACATGTTGAATTGGCCAAAAAGTGGACCCCCAAAAACCAGAGTCTGTTGGGAAGGGAACTCTCTAATTGTCTTTTTAGCTTAAGCAAGTCAGTGCACAAGAAGAGAAACCGAGGTAAGAAAAACAAAAAAAGGGGAAGTCTCTTTTTGATTTCATCCTCATCTCATCTGATCATTCTATATATTTAGGTTATCTTCACATTGACATCTGCAAATCAAGTGAACCAGTGTAAAAATGGTTAGCAAACTGCTTTGTATTCATATCTGTCGCAAAACAAGGGCTTGTAGATCTGCATTCTTGGGTGTTCTGGTTTCCCTTTATAAATGATAAATACTGTGTACCACCGCCTACGGGTATGGAGTTATTCCCTCATACAGATGCAGAACATATGTGTATAATAACATTATGTGCTAGATGGCCATTGGCCGTGGTCTTTGCAGTGTTGGGTGCGCAACTCGGATGAGGAAAAGGGGACTATTTTTGTTCAGTGTACAAAACACACCAAAGTATAGGGCATGTTATCATATACATCAGGGATCACCAACTACATTTGTCCAAGGGCCAAAATGTATCCAATAAACACTATCGCGGCCCAGCAATTTTTATATAGCCCAGAATTTTGAAGTTGTTGACTGAATACATGCTCTGAAAGTAATCAGAATACAGTTACAGTTACGTGTCTTAAAAAAGTAACATATTCAGATTACTTTTAGAATACTTTATTTTTCCATAACAGATGGGTATGTTTTGGTGCACATGAGAAACTTATTTTACTGTTTTAATGGCTTATCAAGAGCTCAAACACAACATCTTGGTCATCATTTCCACAATAAATAAATGCTACATAAACGTTATCTTACACATTTTATCTATCCATCTCCGTTTCTAACTTTCAATATATTTAAAAAAAGATCTCTCTCTCTCTCATCTGCGTGCGGGGGCGGGGCCTCAGACACGCTGCATCTCTCTCTTGCTCACAGACATGCTGCAGCGCTGTGCAGTGTGCACACAGTTCTGCCGGTAATGAATATTATATTTTGTGAGGAAACTTTTCCACCAATAATTCCAATAAGTATTCCAAAATGTATTCACTTCAGGTTTACGAAAGTAACTGTTATCAGGTTACTCGTTTTTCAAATGTAACGCCAGCTGAATACAGTTAGCCTACTTGATTTTTGTATTCTGATTAAGTAAAGCCATTACATGTATTCCGTTACAACCCAACCCTGCTTCTAGGCTACTGTCCCGCAGCTCCTGCCTCTCTGTTGGACTCTGTCGCAGCGGAGCTACTGCTGTGGTGCGGAGCGCATTAACCAGACTTTTCACAACGAAGGATCACTTCTTCTTCAAGGAAGGGATGGTTTCGCAGTACGCAGTCTACTAGTCTACTGTCCCGCAGCTGCTGCCTCTCTGTTGGACTCCGGTACTGCACCTTACTCACGAGATGTTGTAAAAAAAAAAAATGGGTGGGGGGCGAACGCAGTAACCACTCCGCCAACGCACTGTCACCCCCGCCGGATGAGAATGTCTGGCGGGCCGGATGTGGCCCGCGGGCCGCCAGTTGGTGGTCACTGATATACATGGTTAAAAATACTGACTGAATTAATACATTGATTAATCGCTGAATATCAAATTGTCATTGGTTATGTAGTAAAACATTTACAAAAGCAAGGCGTCCATTTTTTAAAGAAAAGTTACTATTAGGTTTTTCCATCATGTGAGTCTTTAAAGTGTGGACTCCTTTTCCTGGCTCATGTAGGGAGCACCGGCATAATGCTCTCTTGCTCTGAGCTGTCTTCTAACACCGTCTCTCCTTTCACATTCTGCCCTTGGGGTCCCTTCCTCACTTGGGGTGTGATCCTTGCAATTGGTGTAGAGGTGTGTTGTGGAGAAACAGCAAGGATACAGATCCTGGCCCCGTCCTGGGACTGGACCTCGCACCATGGGCCTTCTTTGTGGTCATAACAGGTCACTCCAGAGGCCAACCTATTTGGACCTTTTCCATGTGGCGGTGCCATGCTGGTAAAGACAACCATACTGTTAGCTTTGAGTTCCAAATACTGGTTGCCCGGCTTGAGGAATGGGGGGAATTCTGGTGTCCATCCCGGTCTGGCGTAGGTGATTTTCTTCCAAACCATGGGATTTGAAAGCTCCCTATAGCTGTATTTTTTTCCTGTGTGGCTGTACAGCTGCAAGCTCTGGCTCAGCCTTCGTGAGCAGGAGGGGATGTCTTCTGGCAGTGCACTCGGCCAGTCTGGGCTGATCAGGAGGGGGGAGCTTTCAGCATGGCCGTGCTGAACAGGGGGGAAGGGCCTATAGCGGGACCTAGTACGAGGCTTTCGCTTGGGCGTTTGGCTGGGTCTTGCTGAACAGGAGTGGGGGAACTTCTTGGAAAATTCCATCCCAGCTGTGACAATGGCGCAGTTGCTTGTGTTTCCAGATTGTGTAAAATCCATTTCTTTCTGGGAACATGTGGTAGAAGATGCCTGGGTTGTGTCATGGTCAAGCCCGTCTTCCCCTCGAGTTATGGCCTAAGGGTAAGGCAGCAAATTAGTGATCTGTGTAAACCAATCTCCTGTTCTACTGCTTTGAAAGCATTCTTCTTCCCAGTAGTGTACCCATTATGATTGGCATGACTTTTGGCAATGCTACTAGGCCTTGGGCTGTCCCATTTTGGCACAGGTACAACTCCCCGGTTGAAAGGTATCCCTCAGTGTCCTCAATTACTCTGGTGGAGAGAAAGCTGCAGTTGGGCTTTTAGAGGAAACTATTGAGGAGTATAGAGTTTGATCCTCGTCACCTTCAAAGGCCATCTGTTGTTGGTCTTTGGCTTATCCCTGCTCCACTTCCTGCATGAGATTGTTAAACGTTGGGTAGGTTAGTCGTGAGGGGCTGGATCCTAAGGTGACTGTTCTTGGAGATTGTTTTTTGTTGGGGACGGAGTAAAGCCCAAGTTACATCGATCATAGCCCATTAAAAGGACCATTTTATATTCTGCGTTAGAAGCAATGCACAACTTTAAAAAAGTAATTCCCAACAAGGGTAAGATTTTTTTTCTGGTTCTGCACAGCCTTTGCCATGCAGCTTTTTCCCCATTTAGGGAGGTGTTGTTTCTGGTGAGCTCCAGAAGTTTGTGACTGACAATGGGTGACTTCCCGCTCATGTGGGTGTTTCCTGGTTATCAAGGTAATTTTTTGGCTAATAATAGCCTTTCCCTCTATGTATAGAGGGTTTAAACATGTCAAATGGATTCTGTGATGTTTGTTTTCCAGGAGGTGCTCCCGACTGAACGGGTACTGGCCAATATATTTCCCTTTCAGGGATTAATCTCCAGGTTTAATTCTGGTGGTTGGGTATATATTCCGGCAGAGGAGCCGGGTAGGGTATCTCCCATGTGAGGGTTTTTCAATCAGAATTTTTTTGAAAACCTGTAAACATTTAGTAGAACATCAGGAGGTGTCATGAAGTGTCTGATCTCTGGATCGTCCTCGTAGTTATATCCAGAGTCTTGATTACGGCCTTGGGCGCTTTGCTGCTTGTCATACCCCACTTTCCTCCCTCCAATTTCCATTCTAAATGTGTCTTCCCCAGAACTTATTATTTTTCTTTATTATGTCTTCTTGCAAAATAAACTTGGAAAAGGGCAATGGGTATAGTATTTAGGGGTATCTATTAAGATATGGAAGACAATATTCAAAATATGTTTTTGTTAGTGTATAGAAGAGAGAATATCATCATGTTTATATTTACCTCCACATGTAACCCAATGTTTCAACAGCAGCTCAAAAAAGACAAACACAACTCTGGCTTTAGAGATGGCCTCTGGGATTTATACATTACCTGAAGCTTGTAAAACAGCTGTAAAGCCAGTCGCTGCCTGAAATGTCGTTGTTCTTGAATTTGATTTGTTGCATGGATGACCTCTGAGCGATGTGAAGGTCTTAAAACACTGTGGTGTTAAAGCGTTTTTGTACTCGGTAAATCTTTTTAAATCTGTTGTACTCCTCAACAGGGATTTCCTTACTGTATGCCTTCTGCCTGGACACTTTCTTCTCCTTTCTCTCTTAGGCTGGATTCACACCAAATCAGGGTGTGGGATTTTCACTTAATGGCCCTTTATCAGCAATAGACGTCACAAGGATTAAATATTTTTTAAACCTTCATTAGAAGGCTGTACAACGTTGGATTCTCGTTAGCATGAGTGGCCACTGCAGTGTGACATGGGGTTGTTTTGCCTCCAGAAGTTTATCCTAGCTAGTTAAGGTTTTTTGGTATGATGGCTATTTGTCGGATTCAACGGCATGAGTTTATGACATACATTTGTGTCATAAACTGTACACTTTGCTCATCATTCCCATGGCCAAAGTTATGTTTCCTTTTGCCTTCATGTTGTTCCAGAAGGAACTGACCTCATCTCTTGAGTGAGGTTAAGACGCTCACTTTCTGTGCTTCTTGACTTGTATAGGTTACTCTGTTGAATACAACTATGTATGTCAATAGTTTTTTGTTTGATAAATAACTAACTAAGTTGACCTTTGTAACCATTGGTTCGGCCCCTGTTTGGGCGCCATGTAAGACTGTTGGACTCAAAATCGAATAAAGGTATCAATGTGGACAGGGATTGGTAGGCTAAAGCCGTTCCAACAAATGGATTGTGTTTCTGACAAATACTGATATCTAAAGCGTAAACTAGCATAAATCCTTGAGGTAGCAGCATAGTCGCAAGATGAACGGTTAAATTGCACAAAATAAAGAGGAATGTGACTTAATTGGAATGTGGCCTTGGCTGCTAAGCAGTGCCTTGACTGAGACCTGCGTTAGGCCAGTAATTCCTGTTACCTTGGTGACACTGGCAGTGCCAGTTGGTGCTGCATCTCCTCTTATTGGTTGTTCCCGAACCACGTATCTACTGAAAGAAAACAAAAAGCGGTTCAGTAGCAACATACAGGCAATCTACAGGAGATAAATCACACATTTACAAAATAGCAATTCTCAATATGCCAGGTTTATACTGTATTATATTTAGACAGACTTTGTTTACAGCTGCATGCAATTCAGACATTAGAATTTGATATTCTTTGGTGAAGTGAAATTGTTCCTTAGGAAAAAATATTTTGCTTAAAATAAAAAATCTCAAGTTTCAGCTTTAAACTAAATCCTTGTTATAACAAAAATGTTATAATTACAGAGTAATCTCTTTAGTGGACACAAACATATTCTATTTTTAACAAAAAGTATTTGATTTCACTATGATTCAAATCAGCTATACATTAATAAAAAAAATAACAAGGATATCTTATTGTTAGTGAGTAGTGGCACCATTGTTATTATACATTTCTTTACAAAACTTTACCCCGAAAGTTCAGTTTTAGTCGTTCACTCACCTTGATCGGTCGCCTTCTACAGGACAGGCTGTGGTACTGGAAGAGGCTGCAGAACTTGTAGCTGCTTCGGGAAATAAAGGCTCTCCTTGCTGATCAGCTTTCTCTTTCCCATCATCAGTTGAGTGCGTCTGGGAACTCAGTCCCGTCACTACAGCTTCGCTTTGATTGGACGAAGGGGTAGACGTGTCAGTATTCCTGGGATGTTGGCTTCCTCCCAGTGCTCCCACCACTCTTACTGAAGGATCATCTCTGTGACCTCCAGCCTCTCCTCCTCCCCTCCTCTGTCCCTCAGTGAGAGTCGCTGCCCCGCCTTGCCTCTTCTCCTCTTCCATCGTCTCCTGCTTTAATGTTGAGTGGATTAACTCCAAAGTGGCTGCCACTGCTTTTCTGTCCTGAGGGACCTGGACTGACTCGGTGAGACCTTTCTGAGGTAGAGGAGGGGAGGTGGGACCGCTACATGTAGGAACAACATTGAAAGGGAAGTTCTTCAGGGAGTGGAGGCTTAGCTCTGCCTGAGAGGCCAAATGGCGCTCGGCTCGTAACTGTGAGATGGCTCGTCGGAGAACCTCGTAGTCTGTTTCTGAGTGAAGCGGCACTCCTTCCTTACAGGAAGCATCCGGAACAAGCTGGTCTGACAGATGAGATAGAGCAGGGGGGATGGAGTCGGGTTGCTGGTGGAGATGTTGGGGTTGATCATGAGAGGAGAGGGAAGGGATGTGTTCTGGGAAGATAAAAAGAGAACGATCAGACACAAAGTCACTGAGACAAAGATGTCTCAGGAGACCTGAGGACAGTAGAAGGCAGCAGAGAGATCTAGGATAAATGTTCCCAGCTATTTATACCTAATATCCTGAAATTACATCTACATTTCTTTTTGTAATCCAATCCATTTAGAATAAAGACATTTACCATGTATTTACCAATGCACACTCTCTAATTGCCGGAATTTTAACAAAGACTTTGGAAAGAGGATTTTCCACACTGGGGGTTACATTGGTAGTAAAGGGTGCTGATTCACAATAAACCAATTGGGGCCAAATTCCACTACCTATCTAGGGGAGAAATATATACCACCTTATAGTTTAATCCTGAATTGGTACTTATTCATTTAATTGAAGTTAAATATTTTACAAATTGCACAAACACCACAACTGACCTTTGGGAGACAGCACGTCATCTATGATTGGCTGCCTTTTCTTGATGTCATGGTGACCAACCAGTCTGCCGAAGTCTTTTATGATTTCTTCAAAACTGGCCACGATGATGCCACTACTTGAGTGGTCAGGGAACTTCTCAAAATTATGCTCTGAGGAAAAAGGAAATTAACGTCAGTACTATAAATCAGGTGGTAAAGTAAGATTTCAAATCCAATCAGGTAATCGCACATGCGTACCAGTAAGGAAGACTGTGTGTCGGAACTGTGTGTATCGGGCCTGGAGCTCCAGCAGACAGACCAGGTCGGGTGACTGAAGGTTCATCATGTCGCAGTTATGATACGGGAGGAACTCAACAATCTGCCGCTTCTGATAGGCTGACAGTACGTCCAGTAGGTTGGCTGCATCTCTCCGGAATCTGACGACCAAAAAAACATTCAAACTTACCCATGGTAACAATGTTCCTGGAACACTAATACATAGATATACATATAAAGACAGTGGTTTTAGATTTAGTTTTTAATAAAAACTGTCTTAGCACTTGTTAGAACCACTGTCAAAATGAGTTCTCATTCATAACATTCGTTTTGGTGTCTCTATGTTGATGCACCTCCCCAGATATGCATCAATCCTGATTGACTGGTGATCTTGTCGACCACGTCAGGGAATCCACATACCCTTAAAGTAGCTTGCGCTCTGTCACAGCATCATTCAAACACCTCTTCTTGCTTCGGCGCACATCTCTTGACCTGTTAAGCCTTGAGCTTGTTTTTCAGGCCTCAGGCTCGAAAATGACATTCCCAGAACAAATGACTATCTTCACTTCTAAAAAGGGGAAAATTAATCATATTTTTTCTCAAAGCAATGATAAACCTGTGAGTTGGATGTAGAAAAGTCAGAATCAATATAGATTTATTTTTATTTTAATATAGATTTATTTTTATTTTAAAGTAAATTCAGATTGAACATAGTAAAAAAAAAGAAAAGAATGTAAATTATAGTTTCCGTCCAAAGAAAAAACATTACTTAGTGAGTGAAAACCACCCTTGAATGATGGGATAGTAGACTA